ATTTACACCGAGAAGTCGCCTCCATATCATACAGGGCGTGCTGGAATTATTATTATATCTGTTGTTCATACAAGTGGTCAAAAGTTCATTTTTTTTTAAATGGAACCCACTGTTTTTTACTCAATCAATTGAAAGATGAATAAAAATGCTACAAGATGACATAGCATGTCCCTATACCTAAATCATCAAGTTTTCTTGATAAAGCCGCTTTCTGTGAAAAATTTAATTTTATGAAAAAGTTAATTTCAGATAGCCATGGAAATATCAATCTCATGACAGTTCGGTGACATTAATGAGTAATTCAGTAATTGTTATTGACAGTGTTTCAAAAAATCTCCCAGAATGAACGCGAATATCGATTATTACAAACGAAGTTCTTATGAAGTTATTTATTATACACGGACAATGTGATCAAATCATTGCCAAAACTTGCAGAAAATTCAAACAAATGTATCCTGAATTGAAACCAATGAACAAGAGGAATTTTGTGAGATTACGATAGAACAGGTAATAAAATGTAAGATGCGAAATTTTCAGAAAAATCCTGCGTTGCGTTCTCCATAAACGTCTAACGTACCATCGACCGTGAGTTACCCTGTATATCTCCTACTGTCCCAACCTGAAGAAATTACCTGTGGAAAGGTTAGATAAACCTTCATTTTCGGAAAATAAGCTTGATATCAACATTTAAATAAGGTGTAACGGATTAACTTGAAAGGGTTGATAGAAAATACATAGTATTACCTACTAAGAAGACAAAGTCAACAGTGGTGAACTATTATTGAGGTCAAGTTGATCGTTAAGTAGAATTTCAGAATTTTTGAGTTTGTTGATTTTTTTAATGATCCGAAATGAATGAGTTTTATTCCTTTATTTTCGACGTATAGAATTTCAAAATTATCATCGAAACTATGGTTTTCTTCTAATATATGGTTGGAGTATTTTGAATTTGTTTTCTTTTTCAAAAAATTCATCTCACGTTCAAGAATGCGCTGATTGAACGTACGACCTGTCTGACCGATATACAGTGTGTCCCACTTACCATGCTCACCATGGGTATCTTTTTAACGGTGAGAGATACGAGGTCGGTTAAATGACACCAAATGTGGAGTTTGTCGAGGCCAACTATAATGTGAAAAAATATTTTGATAAAATCTATTCGTTTTTGTTTTATACGCAAAAAAAAAGATTTTGATCATTTTCATGTCTCCTCCATAACTTCTTTATTTATGAAAATATTCAAATAGGAATTTCTCATTCTCATGGCAGTTTTTCAAAGTTATTTCGAAAAAAATATGAAATTTATACCAACTCTTCTAGAATTTGAGATATCAGCTTACAAATAATTTATTTTTTCTTACAGATGATATGTCGCAGTAATAGTTTTGTGTTGATAACAACGGAGTTATCGTCATTTATACAAAAAAAAATTATTTGGATGCTGTCATCTTGAATTTATTAATTTTAACAAAAAAATCAAGATCTAAGACCTCAAAAACCCCTACTCACCAATTTTGAATGGAATCGGACCAAATCTTGTCCGCCATCAATTAAAAAAAATGGCTGCTCCAAGATGGCGGACAATATTTGGTCCGATTCCATTCAAAATTGGTAAGTGGGGGTTTTTGAGGTCGGAGATCATGATTTTTTTGTTAAAATTTATAAATTCAAGATGACGGCTTCCAAGTAATAATTTTTTGATTTTGTATAAATGACGATAACTCCGTTGTTATCAACACAAAACTATTACTGCGACATGTCATCTTGGAGCAGCCATTTTTTTTAATTGATGGCGGACAAGATTTGGTCCGATTTCATTCAAAATTGGTGAGTAGGGGTTTTTGAGGTCGGAGAACTTGATTTTTTTGTTAAAATTTATAAATTCAAGATGGCAGCTTTCAAATAATTTTTTGTTTTTGTATAAATGACGATAACTCCGTTGTTATCAACACAAAACTATTACTGCGACATGTCATCTGTGAGAGAAAAAAAAGTTATTTGTAACTAAGTCATAGTGAACCTAACCTGACCTACATTTGAAATACTAAAGTTGGTGCTGATATCTCAAATTCGAGAAGAGTTGGTATAAATTTCATATTTTTTCCGAAATCACTTTGAAAAACTGCCATGAGAATGTGAAATTCCTATCTGAATATTTTCATAAATAAAGAAGTTATGGAGGAGACATGAAAATGATCAAAATCTGTTTTTTGCGTATAAAACAAAAACGAATAGATTTTATCGAAATATTTTTTCACATTATAGTAGGCCTTGACAAACTCCACATTTGGTGTCATTTAACCGACCTCGTATATCTCACCGTTAAAAAGATACCCATTGTGAGCATGGTAAGTGGGACACACTGTATATAAATCGTAAAATGCGGTAGCTGCAAAACAAAGTCAAAGTTCGTACTTCTTCAATTGGATATAAAGTAACCAATTTCAGAAGCCGTGCACTTGATGTGTATATCTCACAATATTCTGTCGGCAAAAAATTAACCCCACAGGCCCCCTTTTGGAATTTTGAAAAGAAATAGTAACTCTTTCAAAATACATGTGGATAGGAGTTTTCTTCACAAATGTGTTCCTTTGATGTTAATTGATAATGTGAATATCTCACAATATTTTGTCGGGCAAGAATTTCAACCACACAGGCCCCCTTTCTTGAAATTTTGTTTGTGGGTTTGTTCATGAAGAGAATCTCTGAATGTGATTTTGACTCACTTCAAAATGTCCTATTGATTTGAAATTTGGCAGGACTACATAAATCTGGTATCAATGCATCATGAATTTTTTTTTAGACAAAAAACAAAATGGCGATTCAATTTGGTGGACGAGTTATGTATTTATGATCCAATTCTACTCAAAATTGGAATCAGGGGGTTTTCAGGGTCGGAGATTAAGATTCTCCAGTCAGAATTGGGAAATTGGAGATGGCGGATCCCATATGGCGGACGAGTTGTGTCATTATGATCCAGTTCTATTAAAAAATTGTATCTGGAGCGAGATCTGGAGGTTTTGGTTTTCATCAGAATTAGGTACTCAAAAATATTGAGAAACTAAAAAACATGCTCTTCTAGTTAGTTGAACTGAAGGCTGAACTAAAAAATGGAAAATAAATAGTAGTTTGAAAAACTGAAGAAACATGCTTTTAAAGATAGCCAAACTGAAAAGAAGTGGAAAATACAATAATAAAAGTATGTTTGATAACTACACAACAGAATTTACTGATTATGCAGGTGCTAATATTTTCTATGTTGTGTATTTATGAATACACTTTTATTCTTTTATCATTTTATTTTCTACTTCTGTTTAGTTTGGCCTGGAGTTTGGCTATCTTCAGCTATATTTAAAAGCCCGTCTTCTTAGTTTTTTAAACTTTTTTTTTTTAGCAAAAAAGTAAAACTCCAAATGAATTATTTACAGTTATTTTCATATGATGCCAACTTACCTAATTAACCTAACCTTACAGTGCCTACTACAATTATTTGAATAACTTTGTAGGCTACTCTATAATTCAGATATTTATTATTATACAGGGCTTTCATTTGAAAACTTACCACTATGAATAACTTCTGATCTGCAGATTAAAATTATCAAAAAAAAATAGGTTGACTTAGATATTGAAAGGGAAGTGAAATACCAGTATCAACTGAATGCTATGTTCTTTCCCTTAACCCTGCCACACTTACTTTATTAAGTCAAATTACAACCCATACCATGAGATTCATCAGATTCAGGCAGATATGATATATCTAGGTAGAGAAAAAATAGTTTTTTTTACCTGTTTAGTTTGGTTATCTCTAGACTTTGAATTTTATGACAAAGGTAGAGAGTGTCATTTGGAATTCCATCTGGAGGTGAGAGGGATGAACATAGAACATGAACAATTGATACTGCTAGTATTCTACTTCCTTCTCAAGATCTAAATAGACCTATTTTTTTCAAAAATTGTGATCCCCACAGATCAGAAGATACTCAGGGTGGTACATTTTGGAATTAGGGCTTTTATTGTTATATTGAACAGAAAATTTGGTAATTTTGCACTTATCATGTGATTGGTTTTTTTCGGATTTTTTTTTTTTTGGTACTTATGTATTTTTGTCTGAAAAACACGAATTTGATAATGAAAATGTGAGAAAACCATTATTTATCAAGATATCTCACTATAAAGTTACAAATTTCACCTTCTTTTTCGCCTGTCTTTGGATCACATTTAGAACAATTTGCCCTGTTTTTTCCATCATTGGACAATTTATATATATAGCAGAATGTTGGACACATTTTTTTATCATATGAGTCAACTAGAAATATGATTTTCTTGTGAATTTATCCATGTTCAGTGAAAAGAAGGAAGAATATCATCTGAAATAATGGCCTGTGTAATGTCATTCCAAAGCAATCTATTGACATTTGACATCTCATATTTGGATTGCCTATGGATTAAATGGCCGTCATCTGGTATGCTTGCTCACTAAATAGGAAAAACTGGCCTTAGAATGTGTCATTGAAGTACATCATGAGTAATATAAAGTGTCCAATGACAAAATAAAAAGAGCTAATGCATCCAACACAAGGGGGAAAATAAGGCAAAATTTCGAACTTTTTCTTGAAATATCTGGATAAATAGTGGTTTGTTCACATTTTCATTATCAAATTCATGTTTTTCAGACAAAAATAGGAATAACCAAAAAAATTTTTCGAAAAAAACTCATCACATGAGTGCAAAAATTACTGAAAATTTATCAAACATTGATAAATCACCTGTAAAAATATGTACCTACACCATAGTTTCACTGATCAATACTTATTCCAATGACTACCAAATACATCAATTAAATGCCAAAGATTTTCATGCTATAGGTAACTTGGAAAGACTTTCCAATGAATCAACTTGAATTAATGCATTCTAATAAATTAATGTTCTATCTACAGAAAAAGAATATTTGAAAACAGAAGTCAGTAATTATTACTAACAAAATACAATCTATTACTCACCTATCATATCTGTTTTCCTTTTGTTGCAACAATGCTATACTAGGTGTAGTGTTTGGAGTATCTAATTCTAGGGATCGTTTTTCCAGAACTTCTGTGATTCCCTTATTATCAGCTTCCAGTTCACACTTGAACTTATAGAGTTCTGAATCTAGCCTTCTCAAATACTTATCTACTAAATCATACATTTGACTAGCCAAATGTACCTATAAAACATTCATTATAAGATACCTACATGGTATGAATCTTGGAATGAACAGGGCACAAGATAGAATATACTTCATAAGCAATACCTTTTCATCAGCATCTTCCAAGTTTTTATAGTATTCTTTTCTGATAGATTGAAACTCTGTATCGACATTTTGAGGTAGATTATCCAGGGAATATCTCTTGCAGTCATTGAAAAATAGTTTCACACGTTTTTCAAGTTCATCCATGTTATCTTAAATTATACAGTCTTATAATAACATCACCATTTTGACTATATCAGAAATAACTCACTGTGTATACCCAAATCCATCTCCCTCATATCAGTGAAGCGATCTCTGAGCTCCTGAGGTAAATGTTCGATCACTAGAAAAATTCGAATTTAGCGCCATTGAAGAGCAGAATGTAGAAGGGGTAATCATCAAAATCTCACTTACTCTCCAAATAGTCTTCCAAATATAACATGTTTGATGTGTATGGAAGCTGAAAATGGGACAGTAAAGTGAATTTGGTTGATATCTATATTATATTTATAAAAATTTGATTTGGTAATTTTCATCAAATATCAAATCACGTGCAAATGCTTTTAATCGATTGACAATGACAAGACAATGACAAATGAAGTTTCATGGCCAGTGTTGCCAACACAGGTTTTCAAAAGTTGCAAAATAGCCACCTGAAAACACCAATCATGATGAGGAATTGAGAAAAAAGGCGCCGAAGGAAGTCTCGTTGGTCAACGGATAAAAAATCGATCTCAGTGAATGGAAGAATTTGATTTTCTCAACAGAAAATGTATATGTTACTCGGTTACATAAAACACGAAAAGTAACGAGATCATTAATTGGTATAGTACAAAAACAGCCAAAATTTGAAACTGATTCCAGTTAATACACTGATTTTTCTACAAGAACATCTCTAGGTTTCCATTTTTGCAATGAGAATTGAGCTCTTTTCTACCTTGAACGAGAAAGAGGAAAGTTCTCTCCTCTTCCATATTTCTCTTCAATGCTACCAACGTGGCCGCATTGAAATATAAAGAGGTCCGATAAATCTTTTCTTGTCTAACATCTACTGTGTGCCGCTGAACTCATTTTCAATTCAGCAGAGTGTCAAATTTAACGATATTAACAAATTATGTCTAAATGAGTATGATATAAATCAAAATTTCATTTTGAAAATTCGAGATGTCACCAGTCAATGACATTCATGACATAGACATATCACATAATAATATCGAAAATAGTTCAGTGGTGCGACTAGAGGTTAGACAAGGATAGATTGCTCAGACCTCTCTATATTTCATTGCGACCACGTTGGTAGCATTGAAGAGAAAGATGGAAGAGGAGAAAACTTTCCTTTCCCTCGTTCAAGGTAGAAAAGAGCTCAATTTGTTATGGAGAAGTAGGATTTCGGATTCATGTCCTCAACCATCAGATTCCACCATTTATTTGGAAGAATTCACCGAAATGGACAATCCACTAGATACCATATCTTGTCACAACACGATAACATGAAACACAGTTCTAGCGTGGAATCCACTAAGTTGGCAACACTGTTCAGGGCTGTTTCTGACCGAAAATATATAGTACTAGATCTCGATTCGAAAAAGTACTAGAACTGAATTTCGATTTTTTTTTAATTTGCCGCTCCTTGGGTGCTTCCGAGCTTTCTCGCAGAGTTGATAGTGACGTCAATATGTCAACACATACAGTGTTGCCAGTTGAAAGGAAATGACTGAATGACCAACCGCCCGAATATGGATATGTCTAGTGCTACGATCGTCGGATAATGTTTTTTGCAACCAACTGAAAAGCCGTCCATTTATGGTTCAAAATCAGTTCTCGAAGTTGATAAATGAACTTCAATATTTGTATTTACATATACCTACATAACATTTTTCCGAACAGGTGGATTGGTAGACGTGGACCTATTGAATGGCCAGCGAGATCACCAGCAATCCTTTGAATAATTTTATGTGGGGCCATCTGAAGAATGTTGTGTATCAAGCGACACCAGCAAATATTGAAGAATCAAAAGAGAGAATTCGGACAGCAATAAACAATATTTCTCATGACACAATACACAAGGTTCAACAAGAATTTGTACTTCGTTTGGGTTACTGGCAAATACAGCAAGGGCTACAGTTCGAACATTCATAAAGTAATGTATTCCATCATATTCTGTCCGCTAGACAATGAGTATTTTTGATAATATTGTTAAATTTACTGATGAAGAATGTTACGCGTTACTCATCAGTGGTTCAGTTATTAAAAAATAAGAAAAACGAATATTACTATGAGAAAATAGATAGGTTCCAGTATAATGCTACACAAATGTGGAAAACACTGAATAAACTGGTTGATACAAATGTTCGGGAGTTTTTTTTATCGCTTGGAGCGCACGAGAGGGAATCCCTATAATGTCCAAAGAACATCGTGCGTTCCCAGGGAGGATAGGGACAGGAGGTAAGTATTGTAATTTTTTTTGAACTTTTGGAGATTATATGTTGTTGGGAACACTTCCACAGGCAATGAATTCCAGAGCCTAGCCGTTCTATGGATGAAGGAGTCTTGATAAAGTGCTGTTCGACATCTTTCGAGGTTGACAACGAAAGGATGTGCTGACTGGGCTTGCCTAGTTCGTCTGATTGGTATTGCTAGTGAAGGGATGATAGCAGAGATTTCCGAAGAACATTTCCCGTGGAAGTATCGATAGAAAAGTGAAAGGTCGCCGACCTTTCTACGGTGTTCTAATGATGTCAAAGAGTGAGTGAGTGTGGCGTCACCCACCAGGCGAATAGCTCTTCTCTGGATGGAATCTAAGAGCATCCCCTAATAACACAATAACATCTGTAAGACGTCGTAGAAACATCCATATGGGATATGATAGGAACATCTCTGGAAAATCCCTGTTTTCCTTGGGACATTCTTGGGATGATGCTGGCAACACTCGTGTCAGCATTTGCGATGTCTTATAAACATCCCATGAGAATGTTTGTGAGATGATACGGGATGTACCAGAGACATTCAGGGTACTTGATATGGAACATCTTGAAGAAACTTTTATATAGGATGTTTTTTGTTTGATGACAGTTATGGATGACACGGTATGACGTATGAATTATTTTCAATCTGAAATCCTGAAAATGGCCGACCTATTTCCAGATATCAAGTAACAATCCGAATCCGAAAATATAAGGTCGGTGCGGTCCAATAACTAATGGAAGATGATAACAGTTGTTTGAGGCTCATATTTGTTGGCGCTGGGCCGACGGCTGTTAGTAACTCTTAGCAACGTAGTTGTACCGCCATCTATCGGCTGGTATAACAAATAAATACAGCAATAAATATGCTGAAGAGATATATTTTGATTTTGTCGTTCATTACATGGTTCATGAAGTTAAGCAAGTACTTTGGTAATCTTATTGAGGAATATTTAGTAAAATTATTTCAATTTGTTATCGATGAAATTAGCCGGCTTTGGTATAGGTATAAGTATATATGTACGAATATACAGTTTTGATTTCCATTTTTTATCAACTTTTCAATGTTTCAAATGTCACAATTGTTTGAACTGTTCAATCATGTCAATCATCATTAGCAGATATGGAACCATGATATTGTTTATAAGAAAAAGATCAAATGGGATGTTTCTAGAACATCCAATGAAACCATCTGATGGATGTCCCAAGAGATCGAAACATCTCTGAGATATCGTACCTAAGTCTGAAACATTGGGACATTTGTAGGACCTTAGCGGGATGTACCAGCAAGATCCCGTGTTATTAGGGTCAGCGTATTATGTTTGGTGCTGAACCCCATATGTGGGAACAGTATTCTAGAACAGGCCGTATCTGCGCTTTGTAGATCATGAGAAGCTGTTGAGGTGTAAAGTAGCTTTTCGTTTCTAAATTTCATTCGATTTCAAAATGAGGATGACATTATGATTATCCGCCACGATGATTCAGAAATTGCTAATGATTTTAATAAATATTTTATTGATAGTATTGCCAAAATAATCAAAGAGAGACTTATAATGATGATCAACCATCTTGATATTTTTTTAATTTTACACACATATATAAAAACTTTTGCGTCTTGGTGAGTTTATTTATATGGTTCTTACGTCGATAAAAGTATAACTCATCTATTAAACAAATCAACATGCAAGTTCTCTATTGAAATTATATATACACAAAAAGTAAGAGAGAACTTTTTTTCCAACTTTGACACCCTGTATATATTGGAAACCAATCAAGCTATATATGTATATATACAAATGATGAAATAGTCGTGTTCCTATATTGTAACCGTCACTTTAATGACGTTGCAGTGACGTATCTATGAAGTTCAAAAATCACGTCCGTGTGACGTACCTATTTTCTCATAGTAATATTCATTTTTCTCATTTTTAATTATGCTGGAACAACGTTGTAACCGCCAAAATCTATAAAAACGGTATTTCCATGGAACAAGGCTGTATGCGACCTATATACAATCCGCTGTCATGATCGTGGGGGCATACAGCCTTGTTCCATGGAAATACCGTTTTTATAGATATTGGCGGTTACAACGTTGTTCCAGCATAGGGTTCCTGAACCACTGATGAGTAACGCGTAACATTCTTCATTAGTGAATTTAACAATATTATCAAAAATACTCATTGTCTAGCGGACAGAATATGATGGAATACATTACTTTATGAATGTTCGAACTGTATTCCTTGCTGTATTTGCCAGTAACCCGAACGAAGTACAAATTCTTGTTGAACCTTGTTCATTGTGTCTTGAGAAATATTGTTCATTGCTGTCCGAATTCTCTCTTTTGAATCTTCAATATTTGCTGGTGTCGTTTGATACACAACATTCTTCAGATGGCCCCACATGAAATAAGGCTCAAGTTTCGTTTAGCTGAAATCAGTTATGAAAAAACTGTTGCTATGGCAACGATCGTCATAGTAACGAGTAAACAAAAACCCGATTCCCGTGGTGAGGAAATGCGTGGTTGCCAAGTTGTATATCGGGTTTAGTATAGCTGAAATCGGTTATGGAAAAACTGTTGCCATGGAAACGATCGTCATGATAACGAGTAAACAAAAACCCGATGCCCATGGTGAGGAAATGCGTGGTTGCCAAATTGTATCGGGTTTAGTATAGCTGAAATCGGTTATGGAAAAACTGTTGCCATGGCAACGATCGTCATGGTAAGGAGTAAACAAAAACCTGATTCCCGTGGTGAGGAAATGCGTGGTTGCCAAGTTGTATAGGGTTTAGTTTGGCTGAAATCAGTTTTGGAAAAACTATTGTCATGATGGCAACGATAGTCATGGTAACGAGTGAACAAAAATCCGATTTCCGTGGTGAGGAAATGCGTGGTTGCCAAGTTGTATCGGATAATTATTGCTTCATTCATCAATTTCAAAAACACTCTTCAATGTAACCATCCTTCGCGTGCCGAGCTATT